CCAAGAGTGCTCAAGCAGTGTCTCTCTTAATTGATGATTGGATGATTGCTCTGCTTTAAAACCACTAGCGGGGTGAATTGGCAAACAAGAAAACAGTAGAGCTGCATCACCACAACTTTGCATTGCATTAGATCACAACGTGTTTGTCTAGTGTTGAAAAGGCTGTCACAGCAGCGCCATTCTTTTCAGGCACAGCTGAGAAGTCCTTGACCTTCTCACTGTCATCAATGAATTGCTCACGTTTAAGTGTCCGAGTCATTCTCTCCAAGGAGCGAGAGAGAACCCCCCCAACTTTCAGCTTCCTCGTGCTCTGTCGCACATGAGATTGATCACCTCTCACCTTCTACCATTTTCTACTCATTAATTGACTCCAGGAATCCCATCTCTTCTTAGATAGCCCCCAAAGAGTCCTTCTCCATAGGAAGTCAATGACTCCTTGGAGTACTGAGAGTGCGTGCCAGCCTTGGGTTAACAGCAACAGCTTTGTTTGCTAGCAGAGAGAATACAGCTATAGCAGCCTCCCCTCTGGAGGGTTGTTAAGTTGAAGCATTCCTCACAAGGTCATTCCCATCCCCATTCAGGTAATATAAATCACAGGCTGCATGATGGACGGCCACTAGTTATGTGGACGTGACGTGTGGCCGTTTGACACCTGCTTAATTTACTCAGTTCCTGTGTTCACATGTCAAGTGTGCTGGAGAGTATTGGCGGAGCAGTTTGCAAGTGCATGTAATCACCATATCCTGACAGATACCGGCTAAGGTAAATGGCTCATCGCATCAGAATGAATGAGTTTTGTGGAGGGTCTTTGGGCAGATAGGGGTTGTTGCTACGGGATTGTAGGTGGGTGACAGAGATTTTGTCAGTTGAAACTACAACAGGGAGTCAACAGCATCTCTTAAAGGGTTTTTCTCATTCTGTCAGAACATAATAAGAGAGAGGACCATAAAGGAAGTCCTGTTCAGATTAAAACAGAATGTCAGGCTGATGTAGATTTCATTGGTATGCGTTACTGGTTTCAGTATGATTCGTAATAGTCACTGAATAATGCATGTGAATGTGACTTACACCCCTCTCTAGCACGACGCCACTGACCAAGATGGCCAGACTGACTTTACTATGTAAATAAAGCACTAGGGTCTGTTTCCTTAATCCAGTGGTTCTCAAACTGGGGGGGCATAGAGCCACTGCAGGAGGGGGCGTGGATGACCAGGGTTAAAATATGGAGTGAAACTAAGATGAAGATTTATGCAGGGAAAGTAAACGAAGAAGAGTTTGCTGATGCCATTTCACTGAAATTCAACATTTTTTTCTTATTTGCTTCCTCTATGGTTAATGATTGTTAAAAATTATAGAGTGGGGAGGGGGAGGGGATGAACTTCCCTTCAAAGCAGTTGATGTGATCCGAGCCAATATGCTCTTATTTCATGGCTGCACAGGTCTTCACCATTGAGATTCATAGCTGTATGTGCAACGAGTGTGATAAAATTGTCACAGGCGAATGTGATTTGCCCACCTCATGTAGCATGATGCAGCCGAGAGTTGGTGACAAATGAGCACATTATGAAAAGCTTTATTCTAGCAGCTTTGCTCTTGATCGACTTTCAATTTCTTTGAAAAATAATGGGTTGGTTCCTGTGTCTTAAGTAAGACAAATGAGTTCTCTGCCGCTAATTAGCATAAAGTCTTGTGAATTGTGGGCAGAAAAAAAGATGTTATGCTTTAGAATTTGCAATTTTGGAGGGATTTGGAGTTTTTTTTTGTGTGTTTTTTTTTTTTTTAACCCTCATTTACATTTCACTGGGAGCTCACCAGTGCAACCAGCAGTTTTCTTACAGGCTCTCTTGCAGCATCTTAATCTTGGCTGGACAAAAAAAAAAAAAAAAAAAAAAAAAAAAAGGTGCCCAGCCACCCTGAGGTACTCTTAATTAAAAGCCCCATGCCTGTCTCCTTCCTGCGCAGCCTGCCAGTGTGGGTGTCGAGGAGGAGGAGAAGAGCTTCTTTTCTCCTGACCTGCATTTTTTTCCTCTCATGGTGCAGCAGACAGACAGGTGGCTTGCGCTCGCCGCTTCACACGTAGCCTCTTGCGGACAAAAAGGTGGGAAGAAGATGAGAGTTTGAAGGAGAAAGAAGACAGGAGGAGCAAAGGGAGCAGACAGATGGGATGTAGTGATGGCTCTCTCACACATTAAAGGGGAGTGGAGAGTAAAGCGGAGAAAGGAGCGCATGTCTCCAACATAGAAGATGATAGGAGACTGTTAATGATTTTATGGAAAGAAATCAGAAATCTTTTTTCTTTTTTGCATTTTATCATCTAAACACTTAAAATGTATCAGAACAATAACTGTCAGACTATGAAAATGATGATAGTTGCAGCACTACATCTGTGTGTCCTTGTCCTTGAAAGCTGGTCTGTTGCCCAACCATTTGACCTCCCTATATAAGAGAGGGGGGGGGTTAGGTCAGAGTGGGGAGGATTCCACCTCGTGGAGCTTTTCCTAGAGCCACAGATTACATTGGACGGAGGCCAGAGATGCATTAAATACTGAACACTCATGCAACAAGTTTATAGACTTTGGCCACTGATGTGTGTGAGCGTTCACATCTACACTGATGCGAGTTTATGCAAAGTGTGAAACGAAGGTGTGGACCCTTTGTGCTCTGCTGGTCTGTTCCCTAGAGCCCCCGTTTTCAGATCCACAGTATGTCCCATGCTGGTGTTTATCAGGTTGTTTCTGTAAAGATGTCCATCCACACTGAAACTAAATATGTTTCCCTCTCAACAGATGTGCTCCTCCCAGCCAACACGTGTGGAGGAGCGGGTCAGACAGTCTAGTTGTTCTCATTTGTACAATTTTTGCTGTTTCTGTTGTCCCACAACTGAACTAGCAGGAAATGCTAACGGTTAACAAAAGTTACAGAAATTCATCTGCTGAATATTTCATGATTACAAACTTAACAAATGTGCTGTATGGTCTGGCTGTATATAAAATTTAATCAGTGATCTCAGTGATCTCAAGATAGAGGCAACAGAAAGTTGTGGTTTAGATTTGTTTTTCACTTCCTGTTTGAATTGTGCTGTTGCTGTTAAAATATAAGACTGTTTTTCAGTCTTATATTGTATTTCTCTAAAGTAATTTCTCATTCTTCTTCTTTGTCGTCGTCTCATAATACTAACAGTAAGGATTTCTTGGTCATTTTTTTTTTTTTCTCTCCAGACACTCACCTCAGTCCTGAACGCCTTTGTCTCTGATGGCGTCTCCTTCCCTTTGTACAGTCTGTTCCTGATAATTGGAATGAATTTATGAATTTTATCCTCCTGACATACATTAAAGTGCCAGTGCAAGGACACACAGGAGCTGATTAATAGAGCTTGTTTGAAACTCTAAGTTCCCACCTTGCACACTTCCCCTCCACCCTGTTAAAGCACTTCGACCTGTGCCGAAAACAGAAACTACTCTACTCTGAGAACTGCAGTACCGCCCCTCTGAAATATCTCCATCAAAGGCAGCGGGGATCTCACCCCTTCAGTTATGCATTATACCCAGTCTCAAAGACTATGTGGAAGTGTCCAGTATAGAATCATTTTCTGCATATGTGTGGCAAATTATGGTCCGAGTGTCACTTCCTAAATGTCATGCTGTGTTTAAAGGACAGCTGATGATGAAAGTTGAGGAGCTGGCTGCTGGCCACCGCAGGGCTATGACTAACTCCTGGTGTCACGGGCTGATTGAGTGTGCGTGGAGGTGAGACGCCTTACCGGGACACATGACTGTCAGCCCGTATCGGGACTGCAGGCCACGCTCAGAGGTCTCCTTTAGATACGGTCATGCTAGTTTCCAGAGAAGCATCTCCAGAAATCAATTGGAGATGCGATGGGAACGGCAGGGGGTGGAGACTCGCGGGGCCGGGGGCCTTCTCTATCTTCGCCCGTCTCCGGTGACTTTATGTCGGGCCATGAAATGTTTCTTAGTTGGTTTTTACGGCTGATGTTTCTGGGACAAAAAGCTGGAAGGCACTTCCATACTGAGAGGATGAACTTTATCTACCTGAGCTGGAGCTGTATTGCTTTGCCTTAAAAGTTTCAACAGAAAAATATCTTTACTGCTTTTATTTTTTTTTTTTAAATCTTTATATCTAAGGTAAGGCAGGTTCATTTCAAGCATTGTAATGCAATTGAAATGATTGACATTACGGATCCTAAAAGTGACAAAAGGCAGTTAAAGGTCAGGACAAGTCAAAAATAGCCAAGGGGATAGATAAAAGGGGATAGGGATAGAGCAAGCACCAAAACATTAACCCGGATCAAAGTTGAGCTCTCTGTTTTCTGGAAGTTTTTTCCAGCTGTGTGATGTTTAGTAAAAGCTGCTTCTCCACGTTTCGTTTGGACTCTGGGAACACTGAGGGTTCGTGTGGTAACAGACAATCAGAGACGCATTTTGGTCCAAACCCAGAGAGATTCATGAGGTAGACAGTTGTGTTAAAGGCTGTGCAGTGGTACTACCGGTGCAGATTTTGTGGGAGGTCTGTGTGATTGGTGGACTGTGGTAGAAAATGGAAATTGCTTTACAATATAAAGCTTTGGAGGTTGGGGTTGTTCCTCTAGTGGAAACTCACATTTGTTATAGGTTCTTTGAACGGTGTGAGGTGATGTGCAAAAGGAGGGAAATGATACGTAGTCCTAGTAATACAAATAATGTAAGATAGTGTATTAGTTGTCTCAGCTGTTGCGTTTTTTCATTGTAATTGTTCCAAGGCATCACCATTACTTTGACATTGTGTATGTTGCTGTTTAAAAATGCTACACATACAGTAGCTGCCTCTGTGATTGACCAATAAACGCCTGAACCTTCAAAATACCTCGTACCGCTGCATCCCTCCATAAGAGGCGTAACGTCCGTCATCACACCGTAGTAACTTGGTTAAATGTAAATTTGTTTTATTGTTTCTTTAATTAATTTCCTCTACTTTTTCTTTTTTCTTTTTTCTTTTTTTTACAGCCTTCACCATGATGATCATCTTGGCTCTTATCCGCATTGGTAAAGGCACCGGTGAGGGCCACCCGCCAGTCGCCTCCCTCTCTGGAGTCCCCAACCTGTTCGGGGTGTGCGTCTACTCCTTCATGTGCCAGCACTCCCTGCCCTCCCTGGTGACGCCCATCTCCGAGAAGAAACGTGTCGGCACCCTGGTGCTGGCAGACTACATCCTGATCCTAGGCTTCTACGTCCTCCTCTCGTTCACCGCCATCTTCTGCTTCGACAGCTCGCTGCTGCACGACATGTACACCCTGAACTTCACGGACAACTGCGACGTGTTGGACATCCCAGTGCTGCGCTACTTCTTAGGCCTGTTCCCAGTTTTCACCATCAGCACCAACTTCCCCATCATCGCCGTCACGCTCCGCAACAACTGGAAGACCCTGTTCCACCGGGACGGAGGCACCTACCCGTGGGTGGTGGACCGCGTTGTGTTTCCCCTCATTACCCTGGTGCCCCCCATCGTGGTGGCCTTCTGCACCCACAACTTGGAGTCCCTGGTGGGTATTACAGGATCCTATGCTGGCACAGGCATCCAGTACATTATCCCGGCCTGCCTTGTTTATTACGCAAGACGCCATCTTGAGCCCGTGGTGGGCAGAGATGCCATCAACAAGCACCAGTCCCCCTTCCGCCATGCCTTCTGGGTGTGGTTTGTTTTGCTGTGGGCCGCCTTCTGCCTCATGTTTGTCACAGCCAACATCATCCTGACTGACACCAGGAAATGAGAACTCACTGTTCCCAAAACTTTCTAAACAAAAAAAATCTCTTATCTGTTCGGCCGGTTTCTTTGTTCATTGACACGAGGCCTTACTTGCTGCTGGTTGGACAGTGTGCCTTTTTTATGGGACTTTTGTTGCATAAACTAAACGTAATTAAGAGTAATTTATCAAATTTGTTAAAAGGGACCAAATGTCAAGTGTTTATGTTCCATTATAAAAGCTGGAACAGTGCATGAAACTATTGAAAGGGAATTTATTAAAATGATCTTTTGTAAACAAACACCTGACAGTCTGAGGTTTGCACTTACAGAACTTTCCCAAAAAAAACAAAAAGGGGGGTTCAATACGCTTCAAATGAACTGTTTCATTCAAAGTGTTGTACGCACATGTATAAACTGTATAAAGTTGGGAGGGTTGTCGGATTGTCGGTTTTGGAAAGTCACAAAGATTGTCGGACACAGGGACAGGGGGTGTCAGATGCTATCTTAGTATGCCTCACTCAAATCCCAAACTATGGGGAAGTTAGAGTGTTGAGGTGGTGAATGATCCACTGGACCTTCAGGGCAGATTGTTCCAATAAAAATATATTGAAGCGACTGAAAGAGTCGAGTAGCGACAAGAAAAAGCGACTGTCACACCTTGACTCGTGTCCTGCTTGGCATCCACACAGCTTAATAATGAAATTGGAACAGAAACCAACAGAAGAAGAAGAAAAAAAAAAACGAACAAATCAGGGATGATCAGTCTTTCACGGCTGACGTGTATCCATTCCTCAGCGGCGGCCGCCTCCGATCTCCTCGTCCCGCTTGTGAACGATGAAGCTCCGTCCGTGACAGATCCAGACAGATGGGCCTCCAGGAAGAGCTCCATCTCAGTTTATCACCAGACGCTCTCGCACCTGTAGTTCACACACAGGGCATGTCTCCCGTCTCTTACTGCTCAGCACCCATTCATGACTCTGTCAGGCTCATATCTGTATCTATCACACAGCCCAACACCTGACAGGATAATCGTGATCTACAGTGCCCCATGGCTGTGGGGAGTGCCAACAGTGGCCCAAAGTGAAGGGCCACCACTGGGCCAACTGTAACTACACAGCTTCATACACTACACTCTGTACTATAGCTCAATAATCCTGATTTCACTGACACTTGGCAGCTTTCTCTCTTGAGTTGTGCCTGTTAATGAACTCACTTACTCCCCTTACATTTCCATCTCGGACCCGTCTAATGGTTCTGTCTCTGCTTTTCACAGTTCGTACAAAAAAAAAAAAAAAAAAACATTTTTTCCTCTTCATTTTTAGTGGATTTGTTTTGCAGATTTTTAGGTGAATGAAATGTACAATGGAGGTGCTCTAAGTACAACTAGCTGTGGGCTGTTTTCTTAGGGATTATTTATTCAGGAGAAAGTAGCGCCACTGCGAACTGTAGGTAGTGCGTTCTGTGGATTGTCAAGGACACTTTCTGGAAAGATATGTTGCTTTTTTTTCATTTTTAAATGTCATTTTTCAAATGTGTGTGCACCACCTATGATATTCCATCCACCTCCATGGTGACGGGAGAAATCTCAGAGGCAGATGTCACCGTGTGAATTGACCCTTTGCACTTTACGTTCGCTTATAGTGTTCAGGGTACCACGGGACTTTAGCAGTGTAGGAGACCGGAGCTGGATGATGTGTTGATTCATACCAAGTCCACTGTTTAACAAATGCCGTGTTTGAAATCACTCACCATTTGCTACTACAGTGTAAATAGTGTATATGTGTGAATTCCTCCATTCTTCACCTGTGATGGATGTTTTACTCATGTGACCTGTCAGTTTTTATTATGTAGGAAACAGTGAGTGAGTGAACGAGGAGTTTCAAACACAGCTGCAGCTTTAACTCGGTGCTCAGTGGATAAATACGTCAAACGGTAACCATAGCAACAGACCTTGAAAGTGCACAAACAAACTAGAAACACTTAAAAAAAAAAAAAAAAATATGGATGATTTTTACTTCTGTAATTGTCCGTGGTTATAAGCATGATAATACACTCAAAGATGTTCTGTTATAGAACCTGATGGACACCAACCAGACACTTTGTCCATTATTATTGCTTACATGATGTCATGATATGAGAGACTACAAATCATCTGGGATCTTGATTAGTGAAATGTTGTTCTTAACAGCTGCTTCATGATTACGTGACAAAGTAATTTGACTGTCGACACAACCTGTTCGGTCAACAAATCCATAGCACAAACAGCTTTTTAATGTTTTTGTTGGGTTTTTTTCTTCTTCTCCTACATGCGCACCCTCCGGAAAACATAAATAGTCATAAAAAATCTTATTATATCATTATTCATAGAGACTTCTTCCTGGCACATACCCCAGCTGTTGTAGCCCTGGTGCACTGTTGAAGGCTGTAGAGGTGTCTCCGGTCGCGGTGCTGCAGAGACAAACGTCATCAACGTCACCAAACTGCAGTGAGAATCTGCATCTCAGCAGCAGATCCTCATCATTTAGAGATGATCGGTAAACACTGCTGGTTGTCACACACAGCTGTCTGTCTCCGTCAGCTTTTGTCTAATCTGGGTGGTCATGGACGAGGAGTCTGTAAGAGTCTCTGCATGCAGAAACACACAAAGCATCGTTGTTATCCGTCATTTATATGTTTACGTTCTCACTTGTTGTGCTGTTCGGTTTTCATCCTCCCAGATCCAGATGTTACAGGTGTTTTTTTTTTGTTTTGTTTAGTTTTTTTCCTTCTTCACCTGAAGATGGAACATTTAAATGAAAACATTTTCTTTGATACAGTAGATATTTATAATTTCATCAGCTGGAGGCAAATACAAGATTGTGCGAGAGTGCGTGAGTGAGTGAACAATCAGATGTTGAATATGTTGAATGTGGTTTCGATGACTCTTGTTTGGAGTTGTGAAATGTGCCTTTTTTTTTTTTCAGGGTTATTTTCTCGCCCTAAACTTATCGACTGTTTTTGTCGTCCGTTGAAAAGCAGCTTGCCATTTCATTTAGCTGACAATCAGTGTGTCCCCAAAATACATCCTCATCCTTTCTTTTCTTGTCTTCTCTGTAATTTCAGTTCTTTTTTTTCTGTTACATGAATTTTCCATAAGTTCAGTGTGTTTCTGAGAATTGTGTTGGTTTGTCTTTCTAGATCCATGTTTCTGGTGTTTGTTTACAATCATTTGGCCAGCCTGTGATATGGATGTTTACTGGTTCAATGTTTGATTTTTATGATTCACAAAAAAAATAAATGCTTTATGTTCATCTGAACCTCATGAATCTTAATTACTTAAATAGAAATTGGATTTTCTTTCAACTTGCATCGTCTTTTGTTGTCAGACTTTTATGAAGATTTCCATTATAATATGTAATTGTATTTCAGACTACATTGTATGAGCATTAGAATGTGGACAGAGCATAAAGGAAGTCTTAAAAGAGCTATTTGTAAGTTTTATTGCTACATAGCTAGCATAAGCATTAACAGCTGTTAACTTACCAGTCTTGAGCCATCATTGTGTTTACAACATAAGAGGTTATAATACGTCCGAGCAGCGCTACTTCTTCAAGGCAGCCTGGACGCTACGGGCCGATCATGCCACAGCTAGCTGCTTAGCATGCTAACATCAGTAGAAGAAAGGAAGTGATAGAAATAGGAGCAATAGAAGCAGTTTCTTCCAGACTGGTAAGTAAACAACTGTTAAAGCAAATGCTAGCTATGTAGCAATAACAAAACTAACAAACGGCTCCTTTAAATCCGCACACAGTTATATTTAAACAGTGTGTCTCTGACTGAATGTGTCAACTCTCCCGTGTCAACATTCAGTCAGAGACAACGTGTCAACAGAGAAATGGTTTTCACCAGTTCAGTGTGGAAGAACCTGGCCTCACACCTATTAAAAAAACCTTTGGGATGAACTGGAATGCCGAACGCGAGCCAGACCTTATCGGCCAGCATCAGCACCGCTGCTGCTCTAGTGGCAGAGGAGTGGAGCCCATGGTTTTGATAGGATATGTTCAGCAATCACATTATGGCTGTGATGATTCGGTGTCTGCATACATACTACCATCTCTGTGAATAGTGACACAGGTAGATATTAGTGCGGTGACGAATACAAGATTGTAGAAATGGGCTTTAGTCAGCAGCCTATGTATAGCTGAGCAACACACTGAACCATGAGGTTTTTTGTGATATAATATAATAATAATCTTTATTTGTAGAGCACTTTTCAAAATCTACATTACAAAGTGCTTGACAAAGAAAGCAAAAAACAGAATCAATAAAATCCATAAATTTCAGAGAAAAATACATAAAACATATAAAACAATCAAGTGTATAAAAAACCAAAAGATATTTTAAGTGAAATAAAATAATTCATGGCAAAGTAAAAGCAGGAAAAGCGCCCTGATAAAAATATTTAAGAAGAGTCTCAAAGGAGGTCACAGGAGGTCACAGATTTCCTCGGGCAGATTGTTCCAGAGCCTCGGGCCCTGACAGCAAACGCTCTGTCCCCTTTAGTTTTCAGCTGGACCTCTGGAACAGACAGAAGACGTTTACCTGCGGGTTTTCAAGGTGCGTACTGGTGTGTAGGGAACTGAGTGGTCAGAGATACAGACGGGAGAGAAGCCACAGAGAACTTTAAAATCAATAAAATCTTGAGGCTTGTTGGAGAGGATATGTTGCGTTTAAGACACACGAACAGACGCCTCCTTGGCTGAGGAACTGTAAAGCAAGTGATTGAGATGATTAGCTGTCGAGCTGTGAAGTAATGTCCCAATATGCGGATTCTGCACAGTGAAGCTGCTGAGTAACAGTCTCATCACCTGGAGACTGGAAACAAAAAAAAGAGTCAGAGTTGTGTGACTGCAAGCGGGGTGACAGGAGGGTTTAAATGGTGTGATATAAAATTCTTTCACCTCCTGAAAGACAAATTACAGCCCGGTCTGTTTGAGAAACAAAATCCAGTTCTTTCCCGGTGCCAATAAAAATGTAAGATCCACTTCTGGGAATTGAACACGTGAATCAGAGAAGTCTCGCTGTTACTTTAGTCATATCACTCTGTATTCAGCCATATTTCTACACAATTTCACAGACTCTGGTTTGGTAGTATTTGTATCTGCTCTCTGGGTAATTGGCATCGTTTTTTTTTTTCTTTACACCTCTGTTCACCTCAATCTTTCCTGAAGCACCTCAGTAGTTTTTTTATTGACATACCAGATCCCTGTTTTTATTATCAAACCAAACCTCCCCCCGCTGAATTTCAATCTCACTGAGGCTGCTCCGCTGTAATTTGATTCACTCTCTGCCCTTTTATGTATGTGGGGTGTGTCTGCCTGTTTAGGGGCAGAGCTTTAATTGGAAATGCAAACTTGGCACGGCTTAATTAATTCACAGTGTGTTTAATTGCTGAGTGGTTTATACAGAGCGGTTACGCAGGCTGGAAGAGAGAGCAGGTACTGGCTGCTGCTTGTTTGCAAATATTTGATCACCTGGTGTGAAATTTAGGATTTTTTTTTTTTTAAAAAAACTCCTCTCTTCATCAGCGTCTATGAAAACTAATCACAAACCTGCAGTCAGGCAGCTGCACTCTTCCTCGCTCAAGCAGCAACTGGAGCTGATTATCTTCAGAATTAAACTCTGATCTCATTAATGACTTCCCCTGTTTTTTTCTATGTTTTTATACATTTGATTAATTTTTCAAGGGAATTTTTTCCCCACATTTATTTATTGCGTAATTATCTGTTAATGTACATTTACAGTGAATGTGTATAGGATGAGCTCACTGGACATATTTTGATGTTACTTTAATTAATGTTGTATTTTTTATTTCATTCCATTTAAACTTCTATTTAATATGTTGAAAGAGTTGCATTTTATTCTCATACATCTGGAGTCAGCACAGTTATGTTAAAATAAGTCGGTCAAAAAGTCATCTCGACCTCGATGGAAAACATCTTGAGGTCAAGGAAAGATGTGAAGGAGAGAAGATTTGTGAGAAGCATGGAAGCTCCTTTCCTCATCATGGCTGCTTAGATAGTCATTTCACACAGTTAGGAGCCTTCCTAAGCAACACAGCCGTGGTTTCTTGGTGATTGTGGCTTGACAAAAGCTTCAGCCATTGTTGTCTTTATAATACAAGAGGTTATAATACATCTGCGTCTTCAGGAAAGTGACAAGACGGGCCGGGGCTAGCTGGTTAGCATGCTAACTTCAGTTGAAGAAAAGACATGATAGAAACAAGTGTGGTGCTGTTGGTGAATAAAGGAATGAAGTTTGATGATGAAGTCATTTCCTCCAGACTGGAAAGTAAACAGCTGTTAATGTTAATGTTGGCTATGTAGCAATAGCAAAACAACATTCAAATAGCTCCTTTAACACTGTGTTAGTCCATGTTTGATTAAATTGGCAAAAAAGGTATTGGACTGATCCTGCAAAAACCAACAACACATTTAGAACAGAGTAAAGATGGTGGAGCACAAAGTTACATCAGCCTGCTGTTGTTGGTTGATTGTTGTTACAAACCTTAATTTATGACTTTCGATGATGACTTTGACTTTTCATCCAGGGAGGTCAAAGTTTCTTGCAAAATTTCACAAAGACATTCATGGTTGTGTTATGGCTAGCTCAAACACCGAACATAATCAGGGACACAACACCAGAATGAAGTTTACTACTTTAAAGTTTATTGAAAATAGATGGGTGACCCTGAAAAGAAAACAGATAGCTTGCACCACAAAGGTGCTGCTGCAACAGGAGGGAGAGAGAGCGAGCTGAAACAAAGGGCCAGCCTAAACGGACTCAGCCAACTAGTCTAGCACAGGTGTGTGTCAATCGGGCGATCCACGGAGATGAATTAGCAACAGGATCAACAGGAAACACCAAAATAAAACAGAATCCAACACTATGTAGCAGTTGTCAGAGGATGAATCCTAGTGACTCTGGTGATCCTCTGACTTTTCAGCAGCACCATGGTGTTCACATTTATGGCCCATTAATGGATTGCCATGACATTCATGTCCCCCTATGGATGACTTGTGACCATACCTTTGGAGATCCTGACTTTTCATCTGGTGCCACCATCACATCGAGTTAAGTAAAGTCAGTTTTATCTTAATATCCCAAAATTATGAATCACAACTTTGCCTCAAAGGGCTTTACAACGTACAATCTGTTCAACATAAGTCACCATATATCCTTACATCATGAAGTCTAAAGCTCTGTCTCAAATTGTGACGAGCATTTCAAAGGTGTGGTGCTGCAGTTGGAAAAAAAAACCTAAATCTTCTTAGGGAGAGCTAATGATGCAGTCAGATGGATTTTGTGAGACAATTTCACCTCTAGTCATGAATTAAAAATGCTTTTTTCACTTTGTGCAGAGTTCAGTCAGATTGAATGCTGACATTCAAAATCACACAGCTGTCCAATGTCCTGCTGATCAGTTCTGAAATTTTAATTTGTCCAATAGCTTGCTAAAATAAAGACAGTCCCATCAGCCTGTCAGAAATGATTTGTTTGTTTGAGAGCTGATGAATGTCAGTGGTGAACTGAAATCTTAGCATCAAATCAGTTTGTGTGGTGTGGGAAAACTAACACAGCATAATGTTTTTAAAGGTCCCATATTTTACTCTTCTCCTGCGCTTTATTTTAAATGTTGGTTCATAAAGAGATATATGTGGTTTTAAGAACCAAAAATGTAATGTAATCAATGTAGTTTTACATCTCCTCTCTCGGGCTTCTCTGTAGCTCTAGTAACAACAGGGCAGTGAGCCAATCGGAAGAGAGAAGGCTCTGAGTCTCCCTTCTAATTGCCTGACTGTTTTCTGAGTGATCTAATAAAAATATAGCAGATTTCAGGTAAAACACTAAGAGAAACCAAATCCGGCAAAATTGGATGGTGGGTCCAGGTGGGCGGGGCTTGGGAGAGGCGTGGATGAAAGCGGTGACTGCTTTGTTGTGACATCGCAAAGTTACAGAAGTCCTGATGGCTGGTTTTAAGGCTCAGTTTCTGAATACAGGCTGTGTGCATTTCTCTGTGGACTGAGGCTTTGATACTTTCACAGTATTAATAAAGAACCTAGACCTGCTTTATAATCAAACAACACATGGGAATCTCACTTCATACAATAGGGACCTTTAAGTGGTTTCACCACCTCAGTCGTGTTACATCTTATCCCTTCTCTTTCTTTGCTGTATCATAATTGTTGTTGCTACAACAAGTCAGTTTTCCCACTGAAGAGACGGAAAGTTTAACTCTAGTTTTTGCCCCCTTACA